GAATTCAATTATTTGAGAAAAAGGGGCTGATATAATAAGATTATTTTTCTTCTTCTTCTACCTTTCATTTAATTAATGATTTGTATTTTTGTTTGTTGAATTGATGTTGTATTTAAAGAAATGAATAAACAACTAAAAAAAAAGGAAAAACTAAAATCCTTTATCTGCCTGTTTCTCCATATCCCACTTTTGGACTTAATCCTTGTTTGGATGCGACGGGTCACATTTAATTCTGGTAACAAGTAGAACGACCAGGAACACACTAAAACCACTTCGTACCTGTTGAGCAGGAGATCCAGCACCTGCCTGGTGGTGGCGAAGGAGCGGTAGGTGCAGAGGAAGATGGTGACGTAGGTGGAGTCTTTGCCCCTGAAGGCCGACACCATGTACTCCACCAGCCTCTCCAGCGTGCCGGCCTTGATGGTCCGCACCTTGCACGTCTCGTAGAGGCTCAGGGCAGAGTCCGTCTCCACGCCCAGCCACCGTTGCCCTTTACTCGCCGACTGGTGGAGCTGCACCTTCCTCAGCGTGATGGTGAAGATGGCGTCCTCCTCGGCCTCCTCGCCGATCTCCTGCGTCGAGCTCTAAGAAGCAGAACGAGGTGGATGAGACGTCTGAGTAGATCAGTTTCTTTTCTTGCAGAAACAAGCTTTTAAAACATCTAAAATAGATTACAGGGAGTTCTGTTAAAACCAGTCAACGTGAACCCTTTAATCACGACCATCTGTGTGACCTGGTTCTTCTTTTATTGCCCGTCTCGAATTGTGAGTCATGCTTTGTGAATAATGTGCGTGCACAAACAACAATAGCAGGTTACTAAACAGAGCTGGCTGGATAACAGGGATAATACCAGCTGCAGCCGGAGTGGATGGAAGCTGCATGAATGTGGTCTCTGTGGACCGCAGCTTTTCAACAACACTTTTTATTGTCCTTTATTTTTTACTCTTCAAGAACAAAGCTTTTCAAGTCATGATAACCATTTGATGTCATCATACATGTACAACCCATCTTATATAATCGGAGGTAATCAGTTCAACACACTGACGTCAAGTTTGTCTGCAAACTATTTTACACAGCTGCCTGTCGTCACTTTTAACAAACCAGGGTTAAAAAAAAGTGTTAGAAGGACAAAGGTAAAAGTAAGTGGAAAGCAAAGAAGAATTTATAATGTATGATTTAACTGACAGCTAAAAGACTGCTGAAGAATTGCTAAAAGACTGCTGAAGAACTGCTGAAGAACTGCTGAAAGACAGCTGAAGAACTGCTGAAGAACTGCTGAAGAACTGCTGAAGAACTGCTGAAGAACTGCTGAAAGACTGCTGAAGAATTGCTAAAAGACTGCTGAAGAACTGCTGAAGAACTGCTGAAAAATTGCTAAAAGACTGCTGAAGAACTGCTGAAGAACTGCTGAAAGACTGCTGAAGAACTGCTAAAAGACTGCTGAAGAACTGCTGAAGAACTGCTGAAAGACTGCTGAAGAACTGCTGAAAGATGGCTGAAGAACTGCTGAAGAACTGCTGAAGAACTGCTGAAAGACTGCTGAAAGACTGCTGAAGAACTGCTGCTGAAGAACTGCTGAAGAACTGCTGAAGAACTGCTTAAAGACGGCTGAAGGACTGCTTAAAGATGGCTGAAGAATTGCTGAAGAACTGCTGAAAAACTGCTTAAAGACTGCTGAAGAACTGCTGAAGAACAGCTTAAAGACGGCTGAAGAACTGCTGAAGAACAGCTTAAAGACTGCTGAAGAACTGCTGAGGGGAGTAATCAAAGCTGAAATCTGACACAGAATTAATTAACAATGTGATTCAAAAATTACTTTGGTTAAATAAATTAAGATCTAAACAAGAATTGTTTATTTATTGTTTATTCAAACAAAAAGGTAATTTAAGTTTTATATTTCTGAAATAAAAGGGCAACATAAATAAATATGAGCTAAAAGTCAACAACTTTGACGTTTCAAACAACTCTCTTGTTGGCAGTTTACTAAGCAACTGAATCCAATCAGTTGTTTGCTTCACTTCTGTAAAACAAACTGTAAATTAAAGTATGAGGAACTCGTTCACCCTCCCTGCAGCTCGAGTTAATCTCTGCGTGGAGGAACGGCATGAACCGCGGGGGCGCCCTGAGTCACCCGTCACAAAAAACACCCATCGAGCATCCGTGGACCGCTAGTCACCGGAGTCCGTCCCTCAACCCCGGCGTGACTCTCAGCTTTACACGCCTGCTTTGTTCAGAATCTATTCAGCTGCGGGTCGGTCCAACGCCAAGTCCTTTCTGATGTGCCTTCTGGCTACCATGGAAACAGGTTTTAATTTGGCGAAATGAAAGATGCGGTAACTTCGAGTGCTGCGGGTGCTTTTTTAACGACAAGCTGAACATCATAAAAGGCTCGTGATCTTTCAGATTCATCCAGCACTAATTGATTTTATTTTTTTTATTATTTTTTACAAAATCTATTTTTATCATTGTGTTTTTTGATTCAAGCTGAACTGATGGGGGGACGCTGGTTTACAGAACCGAAACCTTTTAGAAATCAAGCTCATTAACTCAGAATTTCATATCGATGCAAGAACGTTTGGAAATGCTGACTGGTTCTTTGACTGACCGACTGGTTCTTTGACTGACCGACTGGTTCTTTGACGAAACCACAGCTCTGTGCCGCGTCAGGAGATGAAACACAAATTGCTGCAAACTTTAATATCAGATGCATGAAGGTGCGGTTCTGTAAATAATAAAAATAACTAGAGAAATTGCATTTTCTGTAAAAATGCTAGTGTGAACGCTTCCTGCTGAAAATTTCAGCTGAAAGCTGCTGAAATTGAGCTGAAAATATTTAATAGAAGTGTTAATGTGAGCTCACTTTGAAACGTTGAAAGAAGCAAACAAGCCTAACTTTGCAGAAAAACAGTAAAATGGAGCACAAATCTTGTTGAAACCAGAAAACAGCTAAAAGCTAAGAGCTAAAATAGCTGAAAACATCTGTTAGAAGCATAAATAGCACTAGTTAGCAGAAAAAAAATCAGAAAAAGTAGAAGAAGCAGAAGAACAGCAGAAAGAAGCAAATCTATAGGTAAAGTAGCATAAAATAGCTAAAATTAGCATAAAATAAGCTAAAGGTAGCAGCCACAATTTGAAATTAGCACTCACTTGAAATACTTATAGTTGAAAAATAGCTAAAACAGAAAAACTGCAGGAAAAAAATCATAAAATTACATAAACGTAATAACTAAAACAGCTGAATTTTTCAGTAAAACAGCTGAAAAATTGCTGGAAATTTTTTAATTAGTATAAGAAAGCATAAGGAGCATAAGTTTGCTGAACTCGGTCGAAAAGATTTGTAATAGCTACAAAAAATGTGTATTTAGCTTAGAAAAGCTAACGTTAGGTAATTGCAGCGAAACATTCGCCACAATTTTAGCAAATATCTGAATATATCAGAAAACATCTGTAAGAAGCCTAAATAAGACAATGTAGCAGAAAAAAACACAAAAAAGTAGAAAAAAGCAGAAGAATAGCAGGAAAAAGCAGAACTTTAGCTGTAATAGCGGGAAAAAAACTATAATTGGTAAAAAAAAAGTTGCTAAAATTAGCACGAGAAATTGAAAAAGAGTACAGCCAGAACAAAATATGCAAGGTGCTGTAAAGATTTAAAAACATTTTAAAGGATTTTAAGGATGTTGAAAACAGCTCCGTTCAGTTTCAATGGTAAAAAGGTGGATAATAAACGTTAAATAGCTAAAAAAACAAAAGTTTAAGCTGAAATACCAAAAGTCATAGCACCCCTCACATGAATGAGCTGAAAGTTTTGATATATGAAAAGAGCACAACAATTGTGGAAGAGTTAGATGCTGAAAAACGTCTGGAAGAAAAAATGATCTTAATAGTGTGAACGTGAAGCTTCACACAATAAATAAAAGGGGAGGTGGGGGCAAAATAAAAGCTCTGAGGCGTCCAAAAATAAATTTCACCAGAAAAAACACAGCTCTGCATTTATTTATTAGTACTTTTTTTCAAATAGATGGTCTTACAAGATAGTTGAACAAATCTAGGGACTTTTACTCCATGAAGAATGTTTCATTAAGTACTTTTTGTTCCCTTTGATGAGCATTAAGTTGCTTTTCTTCAAACTCAGGTTATTAATAAAAATGCACAGATTTTAAACATTTAACAAGCCAATAATCTGCTAGTACTATTTGTGATTTTGCAGTTTCAAAGAAGATGTTTTAAATCATTGAGTCTTGTTGATGTAAATGTCCAGATCTTTTTAACTGTAAAACAAAACTAAAATAAGATAAAGATTTTGAAAGTGACCTCTAAATTTATTTATTTTATTTAGTCGTTATATGACAGCATAAAATCAAAATGACAGGAAAATCAGATTGAGCTATTTTTAACTCATCATGTCACTTGTCTTTTTTATTTTAATTAACCTTTACATTTATGTTGTGTGAAATGGAAAGATGGAGCTGTTTTACTGGGTTTTAGTAACACGTCCCAGCACCAACCATTATTATTCACCTGTTTGGAGTTCTAATCATAAAAAAAACTTTCATGTTTTATTAGAGTTTAAACTGATGGAAACCAGAATTGTTATATTTTCAGCTTCTCTTGCCTGAAAACCTGTTTTTAGATCATTTATTACCCAAGTCTTTAGTTGGTAATCTAATTTTGATTCTTTATTTTACAGGTAAAACATTTCATTTTCAACATTTTGTGTCTTGTTGATTGATTTTAGAGCAATTTTTAAACATATTAAAAGACCCTGTAACTAACTCTTTATCATAAATCGATCCAATCATGTCTCAAGTTAATAAAAAGACATTATGGATAAAAAATACAATAAAAAACTAAAACAAAGTTGTCTAATCAGGACCCTAAGCTGTGTGTGAAACCTCTCAGCCAAACAACACCCTGATAAATGAGGAGCAGAAAAACACGAGCCGTGTCAGCAGAGACCTTTACAGAGAGGGAGGTTGCATGTGACAGATAAATGAGGAGCGAGGAGACAAAGTGTTGTGAATCCTGTTTTGTTTTATGTCGGAGGCACAGCTGCAGCCGAAGGCCTTGACAACAGGAGAGCCGCTTATCAGCCGAAGCGCAGCGGCCGCAATGCTATCGCTTCAAAAAAATAAAAATAAAATAAAAATGCTGCAGCTCAAGGGCAGCAACCCGCTCCATCCGGCTAATCAATCCCAACAACAATGCTCCTATTCACAACTGTTCCAGCAAGGACGAGTGCAGTCACGATAAACTCTCTGCAACTTCAACTAAAGGAGCGATCAATGCTCCGAAAGAACAGTTCTTTCAAATGAAACAGAACATCTGACAGGAAGGACACTAAACAAAACTTCAAACAGCTGGGCTTGTTTTCTGCAGACAAATGGGACACAGTTGTTAGGAAATTTACTTGGGAGGAAGAAAATCCTCTTTAAAATCTCCTCACTTTCTTATTTTAATTATTTGAATTGGTCTCACATTCCTTCAGTCTGACTCAGAGCTCAGCCGACCGTCAGAACCATCCTGGTTACAAACAGGAAGTGGCTTAAAGACGAGTTAAACTTAGAAAACTTCAACAAAAAATTAC